AAATATATATATATTAATATATATATATATATATATATATATATATATTAATATATATAATAAACCAGTTATGTTGGTGCTAAGTTGGTGTCTTTGGCACGTCCCCTCCTCTTGTGCTGGCCCTCTTCCTCGTCGACAGTCATGTCAAACTGGTTCAAAACCAAAAAGGTCCATGCTCAATAATCCAGGTATACAAGCCAATGAAAACTGTTGGATTGAATTGAGTGTGGCGGCTGTGGCTGAGTGGTTAGAGCAGTTGTCCTCCAATGCGAAAGTTGGGGGTTCGAATCCACTAGCAGTCATATGCTGAAGTGTCTCTGGGCAAGACAATGAACCCCTCATCGCCTCTGATGTGTGTCCCATCAGTATATAAATGTGATAAAGCACTGATTAGTCTCTTTAGAATGATTTGTTCAATTTACTTTTGTAGAGATCTAGTAGAGTGCTGGATGAATGGGTAAATGAGGACACAGGTTGTGTTGTAAAGCACTTTGAGTAGCTTGAAATAAGATAGAAAAGTGCTATACAAGTACAGTCCATTTACCATTTATACCTGGATTATTGAGCATGGACCTTTTTGGTTAATGTCACATTTTGTTAAATTCACAACAAAACTGGTGTCAAACCGCCTGGGGAAAATCCCAGGGTCGTTCCAAAGGGTTAAACTCTGAGAGCCCCGTTCTGTTACTGTTCCTTCATGGTTCAGAATGACTGACAGATGTCTTGCCACGCCCCTTCGGTTTGCGGCTCATTGGGGCTCATTTTGTTCAGCCCACAGCCACAGGATTCATCCAATGAGGATGGACGTACAATAATGTGCCTCAGCGAGAGTGTATGTGGGCGTGGGTTGGTGTAGAGTGTGTAGACGCGATGGCGAGTAATATTAGCATAAACAAGGTGGATTATTTAATCAATAATCCCTTTTCCTTAATGCCTATTGAGGAAAAAGTGGAGGTGAAGAGGTTGGGGCTGAACAGACGAGGATATTCAAATCCAACAAAGAGAAAACCGTGCTGTGTAACCGTGTTGAACTTGGCTGGATAGGCTATTAATTCAGCTCGGTCCAAATAATATCAACCTGTCAGTTTGTTTGTATTCGTCTTATAGTTCCCTCTGCGTTGTGTTTAACGATGACCAGAAGACGAGCGTTGAACTGAATGTAGTTTAATCTGACTAAAAACAAAACGTGCACTGGTCAGAATCATCTCAGCGGCACCTCGTGCCGTCTTCTCATTGAATGGACCTGTTGTACAATACACCTGTAACAAACCCCTGTCTAAATGGAGCTTATACATGCACAAGAGAGTTCTTTAAATTATTTTTCAAAGGTTAGAAATATGATCAATTTGTAAACAACAGTAAAATAAAACACGCTCGGACATGTCAGCACAGAAGTGCAAGTGGGTGGAGCACACTGAAAATCAGCTGTTCCGACATATAGTCAGAGTCAGAGTTTCTTTATTGTCATTCGCACCTCATGTGGTACATGTGGTGGAGCGAAATTATGTACACGGGGTCCCAGTTACATCCAACAATAAAATGTATAAGAAAAACAGTAATAACATCTAAGATATGAACTAAGAAAAACATCAACTAAATATACACTAAGCACTCATAACATAAAACATTGAACATCAGCACAAACATGAACATGAGTCTGTGAGCAGATGTGCACGCATGAACACATCAACATTGAAACAGATCAGCAGCAACATGAAACAGATCAGCAGCAACATGATGTGGTTTTTCACAGTGATTATTCTGGTTAGAGATTCATGAGTCTAACAGCCTCAGAGTGAGTTGTAGATGAGTTGAACATGAAGTCCTCTTGAACCATACAGAGTTGGGTCAAACTTCACCATGAAGCCTGAAATATCATCTACCCTGGGAAACTCTGGAGTTCCACCTGTCCGTATGCTGCGTCTCTCCACCTGCTTCACCTGTTCCCTCCCTTGCTGTCAAACTCATATCTCATTTTATGTTCGGGAAAAGATGTGACCCAGTTTTCTCCCTGGAATTTGAGGATAAAATACACATCTACAAGACATTCTTGCATCTATAATAATAGAAACATTTTATTTGCATTTCATTTATTTAGGTTTTATTCTCTGTGGTAAACCTTTTTTTTTTTTTTATATATATATATATATATATATATATATATATATATATATATGTGTGTGTGTGTGTGTGTGTGTGTGTGTGTAAAGGCGTTTTAAACCCTTCCCACACTCTTGCAATATTCTAAACAATGTTTCTAAACTCTAAACGTTATAAAAGGGCACATAATGCCATGATTTCAGCTATATGCCACTGGCTGCACTCTCAGCCACGCCCACTTCCTCGCTCTGCACGGAGATCAGCTGATCAGCTGCAGGAGGAAGCTTCGCCCACAGCTGTGGGCTGCACACAGATGCTAAATATCTTAAAATAATGTATTTTAAATAAAAATCCCATGCCGATGGTGCAGCTCATCCATCAATCAGCCATTGTGTGTCATGTACAATCTTGCTTTGAAAAACCGCGATAGAGCGAGTCCGCGAAAAATGAATCACGAAGTAGCAAGGGACTACTGTAACAGTTTATTTCTAACGTTGTCAATATTGGAAGTAAATGTCCAAAATTATTAGAAGGAATAACAATCATAATCATAGAAACAATGTCAGGTACTTGATATTTAATTCACAAAAAACAGCAACTAAGAGCTCACCCCTTCTTTTCACTTCAAACTTGGATCATCTACCAGAGGCCTGGGAGCTTGAGGGTTCTGTTCAGTATCAAGCTGTTCCTGTTCTGGTCAGAGATCTCTGAGGTTGTTCCTGGGATCTGTTGGGGCCGCTCTTTCAGTTTGGAGGTAAGAGCACAGAGTGCTTCAATAAACATTGGCACTATTCATTCAACCTTTATCTAGAAAGGTAAATCCCATTGAGCCCCGAGGACTCATTTACAAGAGAGACCAGGTTTCAACAAAGAATGATGAAAACAATGGACAACAGCGACAACAATAGATGGTTATAGAAAGGCATACAGATTTTTTTTTACAAATAAGATGGCTAAAAAAAAGTAACAAAAAACAGCTAGATTATAAGGTGAATGTAGAAAACTAAAAACAGGAACATGTCTGCATTGGTCCCTGCCAGGAGTCCAACAGATTCTTAAAGCCACTTAGAGAGGTCAAGGTCGAGAGCTTCAGGTCTTTTTGTAAGATATTCCAGGAAACAGGAGCGGAGTAGGAGAAGGCCCTTTTGCCAAGTTCAGTCCGCACTGAGGGAACACTGCAGGTAATAATGTCCTGAGAGCGCACGCTGTAGCTGCACTCACGTAAAGACATGTAGGAGGAGCTGTATGAAGGCAGCAGACCAAGAAGTGATTTAAAGATGAAAATGTACCAGTGAGAGAGGCTGCATGAAGTTAATGATGTCCTGTTAACCAGGGAATACAGGGTGCAGTGGTGGGTACGATAATCACAGCCAGTTATGAATCTTAGTGCACCATGATAGACAGTATCCAACATCCGCAGGGTGCTTGTAGGAGCGTTCATGTAAATAATGTCACCGTAATCAATGGAGGGAAGGAACGTCACAAATACAAACCGGATTCCAAAAAAGTTGGGACACTACACAAATTGTGAATAAAAACTGAAAGCAATGATGTGGAGGTGCCAACATCTAATATTTTATTCAGAATAGAACACAAATCACAGATCAAAAGTTTAAACTGAGAGAATGTATAATTTTAAGGGAAAAATCTGTTGTTTCCAAATTTCATGGCGTCAACAAATCCCCAAAAAGTTGGGACAAGTCCATTTTTACCACTGTGTGGCATCCCCCCTTCTTCTTACAACACTCAACAGACGTCTGGGGACAGAGGAGGCCAGTTTCTCAAGTTTAGAAATAGGAATCCTCTCCCATTCATGTCTAATACAGGCCTCTAACTGTTCAATCGTCTTGGGCCTTCTTTGTCGCACCTTCCTCTTTACGATGCGCCAAATGTTCTCTATAGGTGAAAGATCTGGACTGCAGGCTGGCCATTTCAGTACCCGGATCCTTCTCCTACGTAGCCATGATGTTGTGATTGCTGCAGAATGTGGTCTGGCATTATCGTGTTGAAAAATGCAGGGTCTTCCTGAA